ACGTAAAATCGTATAATCGCCCGTTTGTCACTGCATGATATACCAAGGGAAACATATTACATATTCCCAAGCAGCCCTTTCAGTGGCGGATCCGGACCCCAAGACCCCCCCCCCGTTGTATTCAATTTGTTTTTGTATAATAAAAAAAAAATCATTAACTTTGTCTGGCGATTTTAAAGTTTGGACCCCCATAAAAAATTCCTGTATCCGCCCCTGCCTTTTCTCAATAATATCTCACAACGCTATTGTTGGTCTGTGAAGTCTTGTACAATATCCAGTTCATAATCCATACGTAAAGTATCATTATTTCTTACAGTAGTGCGCCCTCTATGGTCATGTGTAAACGTCTTATTTATCACCAAGGACGACCGGGACATTTTTGTACACGATAGTTCATTTCACACCTGCATTCTTTTAATTATCTGATTCAAGATGGTCAGATTTCAGCCATTTTGTCCCGCCAATTCCGAGATGTTTGTGGATGGGTTTCATTCAAACTTCAGGCTTAGTACAAACATAATTCACTATAAAATTTCATTGCATGTCATTTTGTTTTATTAATTTGCCTAATGGGTTCATTTAGATTGATATTTGCTGATAAGATAAATAAACATTGTCCAAAGCAGGTTAGTGTTGCTCATAGAAATTGTGTTACATAGGTGTGGAATAGTTTTATTGAAAACAAATATATTTTTTTCGTTTTTGTGGAATGAGTTGTTAGCCAATTTATGAGACTTGTTGTTCAGCACTCTTTACCAGTCAGTTTGATCAGCCAAACAAGATTTATGGCCATACTCTCAGTTTGTTAACACCCCCCCCAATCCCAAGTGTATATTGATATCCATGTATCAATGCAAGTGTCCCTGACACAACACTACTTTTTGCTGAAATCAGATAAGCAACAATAAACAGGGAAAAGAGTGGCACTTTTATTTTTTTAGGTTAAGTCACATGACCTTGGTATTGAGCTGATCAAGTATTAATCCGGTAAATGTAAAACAAACCTGTATAATTGCTGCCAATTTGACTTGTGTTAATTTGTTCTAACATAAACAAACATTTTTCTTGTCTGCCCACTCACATTCACAGAAAAAAAACTACAAGATTTGCTTTAATTTTATTGTATTTGCACAATGGTATCCCTCGGTATATATATATATATATCTGTACACAGTCAGAAACAGTTTTGTAAAAGAAAAACAAAAGAAGAGTCACATTTCAACTCGTGAGGGCTTCAAAAAATACAGACATCTTTCAATAAACCAACAAGAAAATTCATCTATAAAGAGATGTTAATAAAGATAACCAATCATTAAACAGCTGCTGAGTTAATTATTCATATATTCAAATTAGCCATTTGTAGAGTATTTACGAAGCTGATGGTTTAAGTAAACATAAGTTACACTCATAGTGGTATATTGTAGATACGCCTCCAAATAATTTCTTTTTCAGCAACAATTTTCTGTGAAACATTTTGCAATTTTTTAAGAGATCATTAAATTAAACAAATTATATAGGTTTTTTGTGTTTTGATAAAGAAGACAAAAGTTGACTTCAGTGTTAATGGTTTGTAGATGATGTGATCTTATTGAAATGACAAACATTTTGTTTACTGAACATCTTGGCCAAGGTTAACCAGAGTAAACCAGTTTAAACCACAGATATGAGTGTGAATCACACCCAAATACTGAAAAAATCTATAATAGAAGCCGCTGTTTCTATTAAAATGTAAAAGAGGGGACTCAGCTTCTATTTGAGAATTTACACATATGAGGAACTGAACTTTCGGTTCTCAATTGTTTGAAATGAATTGGTATAGCTCCTATTATGGTAGTACAGATTTGACAGTAATGTGAATCCCTCTACAAACAGATAAACTCAAGATGCAACCACCAGTAACCAGATCAATGAAATATACCACTATAAAATGACACAAATGCAAAGTATGGAAGTGTTAGATTGAGAGTGAAGCCATGTTGTAACATGTGACACTCACTAATCTCTACCAAAATAAGATTTTTTTTTTAAATTTTTTGTTTCATCTTTTATTGTTGTATGAATATTATTATGTTTTGCAATAACTTACTTATAATGCATTCTGGGTAAAATTATGATTGATAAGACAGAATAAATGTGCAAAAAACAACAAATTGGTTAATAGCTCTTACTGAATAGACAAAATAGACAGTTTTTTTTTTCAACGAGTACAAAATATATAATAGAGATATACAATGAACAAGAAAAATCAGGAAAAATGCACTGAACATCCAGCTTTTAGTTATTTAGTCATTACAACAGTCGGGGTTACAACCACAACATAATATGAATTCCAAAATATGTTAATTTCATAATTCACAAATATGTATTATTGTTTCTAGTGAATAATGAACCCCTTAAAAATGAGATAATGAAAAGATTTTTTTTGCAGTGCTGGATCAAATTCAATATTTTATTTTAGTTTGCATGTTAGACTTTTGTCAACAAAAAACAATGCAAACTGAATTATATTGTGAGTGAATAAAAATAAATTATTTGAGTTTTCAATCATATAATGCTATGAGGTTCAAGAGAACCATATTATTATCTTATCAAGCTTTGCTTTCAGTTATGGGACAGTGTTGGACACCTCAATGGTGACGTAGTTTATCAGATATAAAGGAAAATTGTGCTAATATGGCTTTTTACAGAATGACAAATGTTATTGTTTTTGGTGCAACATGTATAATAAAGTATATCCAGTTACTCCCACAATGCATTGCTGAGTGATGAGAAATTACGCAAACATACCTCAACGTGAAGACAGAGACTAGAATAGAATTCACTGGGCGTTAATGCTAATGTCAAAGTTTTTAAGTTATATTTAAAGATGGTCACTGTACATATTCCAAATATTAGTAACCATGGCAATGAGAGGGCTATTAAACATTATAAAGACGTGTCAGAATTCATTTAACAAAAAAAATGACGGACAAAAATGCATCACAACAAATAATTTAAATACAGTATCAACAAATAAGAATCCTTGAAATGGACCCTCTAACTCAATTTGAAATAAGAATCCTTAAAATGGACCCTCTAACTCAATTTGAAATAAGAATCCTTAAAATGGATTCCTTAACCTAATTTGAAATTCATTTCAAATATTTTACATACATTTTCAGAACACCTTGGAAAATATTTTCAATTTTCTATAAATTATAAATGTTTTATTTCTGTCAACAGAAGATTTTGGTCTCATTGACAAGCTTGCACCTCCAAAATTGACAATCACACCCCCAGTTGTATAATAAAATGATCCACTGACAATACCAATATGCAAGGGGGAATTCTCATAAACAAAAAAACAATTCCCCTTACTTACAATAACAAACTTTTCTTTATCAAGGTGAAAGGTGCTATCTGTTCACAATTATTTTTTTTTCCAAAAAAAGAAAATTTATTATTTACACATCTCTATAAATTAACTAATATCACCATGGCAACGAAGCTCTGAATAATGTGTTGTACTACATAATTAACATACTATCACTGTCAGTCCAAATATGGAAACAACTTTTGCATACTGCAACTCATTTGCATACCTTCTCTCAATAAAGTTACCCGTTTCTGCTTCATTTATTTGAAAAAAAAAAGTTAAATAACAGTCTAAATATTTCTGGCAAGTTTCAAAAAGACATTTAATTCAATAGATATCTTTCTGGGCTTGGTTTTCCACACAGAAGTCAAAACTAAAACCGATGAACTCAGCTTTAATAACATCTCTACATATAAAAACATGAGGGCAGTCTTCTAAAAATGGCCACCTGAATGCCCATATATGGGCACAAGTATGTAAATTTATCTAACTTGTAACCAATTAGATCACATCAAATATATTTGCAACTACAGTTTTTCTGCATGAATTTATTGCACGGTTGTTTTTCAAAGAAACAAGACCAGGATCTTGCACATGGATCTACAGAACAGTTAAAAGGCTAAAACTAAAAGTCTCAAAATTCATTGTTTTTTTTTCTGCATAATCTAAATTTATAACAATTCAGCCAATATTTGAGCAAAATAAGTTCTCACTATGGAATATAAAGCTATGAAACTTGGATTTTGCAAACTAAGACAATGAGCTTGAGTGTCTAACTTTCACACCCCCCTGATATAATGCTACCGTAAATGGAATAGTCTTACAAAATAGGAAAAGAACATGGCAGTGAACAATAGTACTTAAAAGGACAGTTTCAGTAGTAATTAAAGGGACAGGATCATGTGTATGCCCAGTGTCACTTTAAGAAAATAAACAATAGGTTGTGAAAATATATACTTTACAGCTGTCTCTCAAAAAAAGTAATTTTGTGGATTTTCAAGTGTTTAACCTTTTCACCACATATTCACAAAATAGTCCTGTTTATAGTCTGCACTTCCCATCAGAAGATTGGGACAAAAATAGGCAAAATTGTTAAGTAAAAACTAATAATTAACTCAAATTTTGTCTGTTGGTTCCAAAAATAAGGTTCATTCCCAGAAATATTGGAGAATATAAGAAAAAAGTGCAGAACATTTTGGCGGAGAAAGTTTGGTGGTGAAACTGTTAAGGTCCCAATTTAATTTCAGTCAAAAAAAAAAAATCAGTTTCATTTTGAAAATACACTACAGAACCAATTAAGTAGCAATACTAATCTAAATTCAACTGTTTCCATGACAATATTTAATGTCTGTATTTTTCATACTTTAAACATTTTAATAACATAAATATTAAATCTATTAAACCATGAGCCCAAATAAGGAAAGATTAACAAAATTACTATTTTGTATGGAAATACCTAATTTTAAGGTAATATTAAAATCATATATACAATCGATAAGAATTTCTTATATGGGTTTATGCAAATCTAGATCAAAGTAAGTAAGAAGCCTCTACAGAGCACAGATTTCATTTTTGTGAAAGCGAAGTAATATGTACACCATCCAACCTCTATGGGCTTTGTAGAATTCTGTATATTATGTGGGGTAAGCCTTAAACAGATAAAGATATCGGTGGAATCATTTCTTTGAAATGACTATTTGTTGCTAGGTTACCATCTACTTATAATTCTGACTGTCGAGGCTTGCTGATTGGTTTAATATCTGTGAACGACAACCCTGTAGGTGGTAAGATTGGTGGTGGATCAGATAAACACTGGTCTGATTCAGTTCCAGAGTACGTGCTGCTACAGTTGCAATCTGAAAACGTCAACAAAAAGATTAAAAATCAGGATTAGAGCAAGCAGCACAATTGTCGTTAAAGGGTGGTAGTCGTAAAACCGCGTTGGGACACATAGCGACAAATACAATGCGTGTAAAATACATTGTTTAGATGAAGCGCGACCACTGCTCTTTGAAAAAGAATAAAAGGATCAATAAATGTTTAATTGTAATCTACATGAACAGGTCAAAAGTCGCATGGAATTCTGTGTAATTACCTGCAGTTGGTTTCTGTACATGATGGTCTTTGTACTGTTTGCGATGTCTATTACTTCTGCTATTAGTATGAGAATGTGGATGGTCACACGTACACAGTGGTTCTTTCACATTTCCATGGCAACAGCCACACCTACTGCTTGTACTGCTGATAGTGTTTCCTGTTCCATTCAGGAAATATGCATCAATGTTTCGCTTATTGTGTTCACTGACTGAGGTTCCATAGCTGTGATCGCTACGGTTACTAGTGAATGACATGTCCTAAAGAATAAAGACAATACACCATGTTTATTATATTGAAATAACAGGCTTTCGTTTATTTCACAAACCAACCATCAAAAGAACAGATGAGCGGTGAACGAATTAATCTAAATAGCATAGAGACACACAGACAGATGGTCAGTCAATATAATCAATACTGACACAAACTAATAAACAGAGCATAAATTTCAGACACACAGACAGATGGATGGAAAGACAACATAATAAATGCTGATATATAGTAATCAACAGAGAACAAATAACAGACACACGAACAGACAAACACATAGACAGACAGACACATAGACAGACAGACACATAGACAGACAGACACATAGACAGACATACACATAGACAGACAGACACATAGACAGACATACACACAAACAGACAGACACATAGACAGACAGACTGACAGACACATGAAATATACTTACATGAGACAAAGGAGAATTTATAATATTTGGTTCAATTTCTTTATAGTCCTGTGGATTATTAAAATTAACAGCACTGATATCATGGCAGTACACATGCCCACTTGGTAATCCAAACTGTGGTGGAAGCGGTGGCAACGGTGGCAACGGTGGTGGTGGTAGTGGCGACGGTGATGAAGTCACACGTTGTTCTGGTATATTCAATGCATTACAAGGTATAGTACTACCATTAACACTGGTGTTATCTATAAATGTCGGGTAGTTTGGATCATAGTATTGTCGTTTGTTCCAATCTATGTCTACTTCTGTCAGACAAAATGTAAATATTCATTATTAGAAATTAGAAAACAAGCAGCCTGTCTGCTGAGATAGCTCCGCTGTTAGCAATGCACATTTCAATTAAAGAACTGAAGCAATCGGACTTGTTGTTTTCAACAAAAATTTGAAAATATCACTTTTTACCAAATATAACAAACATATTCACCAAAATTAGAAAATAAAAGATATCATCATGAAATGAACAAATCTGAGAGAGGTCCACATGGAGTACCTATATACATGTACCTACAATTTAATATAATATCAAAGCAATTGGACTTTTGGTTTTTAACAAGAAGTTGAAAATCATGTACTTTTTAACCAAAAATGAGAGAATTGGAGATATCATCACAAAATGAACAAATCTGAGAGAGGTCCACATGTAGTACCTATATATGTAATATCAAAGCAATTGCACTTGCGGTTTTTAACAAGAAGTCGAAAATATCATTTTTTACCAAAAATGACAAAAATATTCACCAAAATTAGAGATTAAAGATATCATCATCAAATATACAAAAAAGTATCAAAGCAATCAGGCTTGTAGTTTTCAAAAAGAAGTCGAAACAATAAGTTGAAACGAATGACAGACATGGAACAATCACTCATATAATTGGCTCTGCTCGACAATATCAACAGCGAAGCTAAAAAACGTCAAAATTTAACACTAAAATTTTGCCAGGAAACAATACTGCGCTGAATGACTAGATAGATGAATGAATTACTAATAACTTGAAGTGAACTTACTTGTGACTGGGTTGCCAGAATACTGTTTTGATTTCCAGAGACACATTGCCACAAAAATTGCAATCAAGAGAACCATAATTCCAACAGCAATTCCTATTATCATGTACAGCATTTCAGTGTCTGATCGATCGTCTATGCTACTGTTACTGTCATCTACGTCAGCCATTACTTTTGTTGTGTAGTATTTTACTGTGGTTGGATGGACAGTTGTGGACATGTACAGGGCTGTAAAATAAATTTCAGTATATAAATCAATTCCAACAGGTCGTACTTCGACATCGATAATTCACTACCGCATTGCATTACCGGAATGTCTTCGGGAATTTCCAAAGAATTGCGTCGGTACAACACAGCATTCTGATTGGTTAATAACCAACTTAATCCATTAGGTCCAAGGACGTTGCTGCAGGTCAAATCTGCAAATGCATCATGGTGGGAAGTGATTTACATCGAGAGTTTGTGTGCGATTCAACATGTTTGTCAGTGGAGATAATGATGAGAATTTTTACTTTGACTGTGTTCTAACAGACTCTAATGTTTTTAATTCCATAAATTATGGTGGTACGTAATTAATATTGTAAACATAGTTGAACTCTGGTGACCTTGCCCTTTGTTATATAATATAATTCCCTTTATCACAGTTTGTTTCAATATAAATATGCATTGTCATAATTAATTTTGAATACAAACAAGTTTTGGGATTGAACCAACAGTGGGGAATCAGTCTACCGAATGTCCTTAAAAGATGTAAATATCTTACAAAAACATTGGTGCCTTTATAATATTTGTTTAATTATTTTAAGGGACATAATTTCCAGTTTTATTCAAAGTAATTCAGATATTTTAGTATAAAAATAAATGCCTCATCGCAAAAAAAAAAGTTTTGCATTTAGACGTGAATAGATTCATAAAACATGCACGATAACAGTATTTTGTATTACATGAAAAGTAAAAAAAAAACACCCTTTATGAATAGCTATCATGTTGCAAGCTCTGCTTTGTATGCAAATCAACTTAAGTAGTTAGTTGGTGTCCAGTGGAGGGAGAAGTCAACAGTACTGTTGCCTCCTGAGAATCTACATCTTCAAACACTGCAATCTTTGAAGTGCGTTTTTAAACCAGTATTATAAAAACTATATCATTCTGTTCTAATAGCTGAAACATATTCCTGCGAGTTTTCATTTGTCGAATGAACTGTTTGTCAAATACAGAATACATATATTTTAGAACAATTTTCTTTTTAAAATGTGGATGAAATGTTTTGCTTTTTATGTATTTTTTATGTATTGTTTTTGATTTGATAACTTTGAACTAAACAGATTTTCTATTAGCTTCAGATCTTGATCAAAGTTTGGCACCCAGTTCTTGTTTTCTGTAAAGATTTTATTGGTAGGTTTGCAAATGTGTATCAGACTGTGCAATCTCTCCATGAGTTGGTTTTGAAACCCAGTATGGGATTCTGGTATACATTACCAAGGATATTATTACAAGATAAATCATTTGCTTCATTGAACACATACAACAATACATATTTTCACTGAGATCAGTGACCTTTATTGTGTATCACCAGTGATCAAGTAGTCAGTCAAGTAGAAACAGTCAAAATATTTTATCAGATTTTCTCAATTTTTGCATGATATTTTCATACAGGACATCTGTTTTTCAAACTCAGGGAAGACTTTATACTGATGAATAAGGTGACCAAGTTTGATAAAGTTTGGAATAGAATTAGTAAAGTTATTATGCACACAATAACAATTATTAACGACGACGACAACAACAACAACGACAACGCCGGACAAAATCTTTCCCTTAATATATCTTTCCCTTCCATCTTTGATGGTACGGGCAAGGTAATAAAATGTGCATATTTTTTGTGATCAATTCTGTTTCTTCATTGTGAAAATCAATGACGACGCAACTAATTTCATAATTTGATTTTCTCTCAAAAACGTAATCTATCACATGATGAATGAAAATTTTCATTTGCACTCTTTTTCGAGGGGGGGGGGGTGCTCGGGTAAGCGCCCACCCCTAAAAAATCGTGATTTTCTGAGTTGAGGCCCCTGGGCGGTAACGCGGTCGAGCACGGTAAAGTTAACTATCATGACAGATATCAAAACACCATGAACCATCACATTCTGCTCATGAAGTCCTTTGGTTACCTCAAAAGTATAATATAATGCACTGGCTCTATATTTTCAAGTTGGTAAATAGACAAATCAGAGAGTTTCACTTTAAAATCAAATTAAATACCATAAAATAAATTTGTGTTCTTTTGTAAAAGAACTCATCATTGGTCAAGTGATGAAGATAAAAAAACAAATAACAAATGGACATTGAATACTCACGAATTGTTTCTCTTATCATGACGTTGCTGAAGTCTCCGGCACCCCCATTATTGAAACTTTGCATTTTAATATCGTAACTAGTCTCAGGGTCGAGGTTCGTGATGACAAACATCCTATTATTAACCCCCTGCACTGTTTCCTGTATGTAATCTTTGTCGTCATCGCTGTCTGTCTCCCGATGATAAATATAAAACCCATTGATAGGAACACCATCGTGACTCGCAATATACTGAAGAAGGAAATACAAATACAAATGTAGATTGACTCTTTTAGTCAATGTCAATAAACAAACAAATCCTTATAAGAAAAATGCAGTACCAAATAAGGAAGACATTACCCCACTTGGGCTTGAACTGGCCATATCCTTATATGGACAATGCAATACCAAATAAGGAAGACATTACCCCACTTGGGCTTGAACTGGCCATATCCTTATATGGACAATGCAGTACCAAATGAGGAAGACATTACCCCACTTGGGCTTGAACTGGCCATATCCTTATATGAACAATGCAATACCAAATAAGGAAGACATTACCCCACTAGGGCTTGAACTGGCCATATCCTTATATGGACAATGCAATACCAAATAAGGAAGACATTACCCCACTTGGGCTTGAAATGGCCATATCCTTATATGGACAATGCAATACCAAATAAGGAAGACATTACCCCACTAGGGCTTGAACTGGCCATATCCTTATATGGTCAATGCAATACCAAATAAGGAAGACATTACCTCACTAGGGCTTAAACTGGCCATATCCTTATATGGACAATGCAATACCAAATAAGGAAGACATTACCCCACTAGGGCTTGAACTGGCCATATCCTTATATGGAAAATGCAATACCAAATAAGGAAGACATTACCTCACTAGGGCTTAAACTGGTCATATCCTTATATGGACAATGCAATACCAAATAAGGAAGACATTACCCCACTAGGGCTTGAACTGGCCATATCCTTATATGGAAAATGCAATACCAAATAAGGAAGACATTACCTCACTAGGGCTTAAACTGGCCATATCCTTATATGGACAATGCAATACCAAATAAGGAAGACATTACCTCACTAGGGTTTGAACTGGCCATATAAGCAAACATTTCCTTATATGGACAATGCAATACCAAATAAGGAAGACATTACCTCACTAGGGTTTGAACTGGCCATATAAGCAAACATATCCTTATATGGACAATGCAATACCAAACAAGCAGCCTATCGGCTGAGATAGCTCCGCTGTTAGCAATGACATGGCAATTAAAGAACTGAAGACATCATGATAATTGGACTTGCGGTTTTCAACAAGAAGTCGAAAATATCACTTTTTACCAAAAATTACAAAAATATTCACCGAAATTAGAGAATTAAAGATATCATTACAAAATGAACAAATCTGAGAGAGGTCCACATGTAGTACCTATATAT